ACCACTTTTTAAAATGAAATTGTATGATTTTCTTTTACATAATACGATTCTTCTGATTATTCCGCATATAAAGATAAAACTATCAAAAAAATCAATAGATAAAGCTATCAGAAAATCAATAATTTTTGAGTTATTTAATACTAATACATATGACATGAAATATTAAATATCTTGGTTTGTAAAGTTGAGCAAATGAGAGTACGGCGCGGTACATAGTATGCAAAAAAATAAAAATTAAATTAAAAAATTAATTTTTTCCCACTGATTTAATTTAAATGTAAATTATATTTAACTTGCTGTTATAACCTTGAACGTTTCGACCATATTTTAATACAGAAAAGCTTCTAAATAAGCGTTATATTTCTGAAATTTTATTAATTAAACTGCAAAAAAATAGTTTGAATTTTACGGTCCGACATCGAATGATTACATCATGCATACGTAGATATAATAAATAAGTTATAATTTAATTCATGTACATGAGCCTTAAACGACAGGTTATTTATTATGTATTCATTTCTTTGTCACCGTAAATAACATTATTATTTACGGTCTTAACGGTTCTGACTTGTATTTTGACTTTCTCAGCAATTTTATAATTCTTGATGTTTTATTCTAACATAACTCATATTATAATTGTGTTCACCGATCTGTTTTTATAAATTATGATATATTTTACACCCTTGGCTTCAGCTGAATCTTTTTTTTATTTATTCCGTTTTTATACTGTTGATTTAAAAGATTCATATACTTTTGCATATTCATTCGAATCGAAAATAAATGATTTCTATTCTCTATTCATAGTTGATTCTTATATAAGCCAGTAAATCTTAAGATGTCCAATCAAGAGTCGCATTAACATTTTAAGATATTACTTAAGACGATCTTAAAATAAGAACAGACTACTAGCCTGTGATTAACTCATTAAATCTTAAGAAGATCCTAAAGTCGTCTGTATTACCGATTAAACGCAATAAATTTTGTATAACAATTATTTTTTCCTCTTTTTACAGATTTGAAAATCCTTTTCCAGGATTAAAGCATATGCATTAATATGTATCTGTGAGGTGGTTTATGTCAAGAACAAGAAAGTTATTTAAATTAAAATTTTTTTACCATTTCTTACTCCAATATGGCATCAGAACTGTCAATATTGTAACAACATTTGCTTAATATAAAAGCTTTGCAATTTATACTTACGAAATTGTGATCCATAGATTAATAGTTTATTTGAACAAACAACGTGGAGTTCATAGAATTAAACTTAGACATCTAGTTAAAATGCTATTGTTCTACAAAAATCTATGTATATGTGTGTGTAAGATATTGAGTGTAGTAGTATATAAAAATTTGTCACATTTTATCGATAAAACAGCGATCTCGTCAAAATTCGCTTCACTTTAGGATCCCCTTAAGATTATCCTTAAATAATATTTACAATTGATTCTTGTATTTAAGATCACTTAAATGACACTATAAAAGCTTATTGTACATATTCATAGTCAGATCTTATATTTAAGACTTCCTTAAATTTATCTTTAGATGCTCAGTAGTCAATAAAATAATTCATAGAGCATCCGAAGATAAATATAGATAAGAAAGCCTTAAATATAAAGCCTGACTATGAATACGGACATAAGTTTACCTTTTTATCTTATACTTTTAATTTTCCTACAATTGTCAAAGGCTTTACGAGCACATTCTAAGGTACACATAGTTTAAACAGTATTATGATCGACATTCATAGTCAGTTCTTATTTCAAATTCAATTGTATATGCACATATATATATATATGTATGCATGTATGCATGCATGCACGTACGCATACATATTTATGTGCATATACAATTAGCATCTTAAAATATAACTTGAGACGATCTTGGAATAAGAATAGACTTATGAATATCGTTCATAATCTATTCTTATTTTAAAACCATTTTAAGTAATATCTTAAGGTGTTAATATAGTTCTGTGATTGGCTTATAACATTTTAAGACTAGTGTACTTGAGACTTATGCCTGGTTTGTGCTTCGGTCTTAACCCTAAAATCCTAAAATTCAGCCAATGGAACACAGATTTCCATTAGGACCAATTAAGACTGACAGCCCTATTGGCTGAATTTTAAGATTTTAGGATTAAAACCGAAGCATAAACCAGGCATTATAATATAATATAAGAACTCTATGGATACCGGCCTATGGACCAGTCTCACCAATTTCGATTAACCTAATTGGTCGATTAAATGTCAACCATGATTGGTCAATTCTATTAAACAGTAAATTACTTATTAAAGCGATTGATCAGTTCCAATACAATTGGTCAATTAATTGGAATTGGTGAGACTGCCCTATGTGCTCAGAAAAAGTAAATTTGTGAAACCTATTGCTTCTGAATAACAATGTCAATTATTGTCAATTGTTGACTTTTTTTCACATGTAGATTACACAAATGGAATTGTCTATAATTTAGAAAGAAAAAGTTGTCTTGCTCAAGAATCGAATGATTTTTATATTACGCTATGCACATTCTTCGTACTTGTGAAAAATAGAGAGATAAAGATATCAGTGTTATCAATAAGCCAGATAACGGAAAAATCATAAATTTTGCCAAAGATAATGCAACAAATAAAAAAAATTCTAAAATGCACATCGCAGCTGTTCATTCCAGTTATATTTTCTGCATGTTATTTCCAAAGTTTGAATGTAATGATTCCACTTTAAATGCAAAATGAAGCTGACGAATGAGTGTTCTTCCAATTTTCATGCTCGTAATGTTACCGTATATATTTTTCTTATCGATATATTTATTGTGAAAAAAATACGAGATTTCGTGCATCCGAAATGGAAAAGCTTTTTTTGTGTCTTTCCGTCTGAAATCCGTAGCAACACAAGACATTGTTGAGTAACGTGACGTGACGTGACGCGACACAACATCGAGCGCGTGTTCCATTTTATTCCGCGTTCCTATGCCTACCTACTCGCCTGGCTTATCGCTATGCAAGTATACAGCACTATGCAGCCGACGGCCAATTCGGCGACATGTGTCGGCCTTGTAACGCGCATCACATACGACATATATGTAATTATTCGCGCAAACACTTTTTTTTCACCTTAAGGAAGAAAGGCACACGGAGTGCATACGATTATTTACGTTTGTATTGTAGCGCAAATGAAGAATCGCTTCTACTCACTTCTGGATTATGAGATATCCCACATGGACAAGCACGTCGGTTTATACTTTAAGGATATATATGTATATAGGTATATATATTTCTTTCTCCCTCCGCAGTCTCTGTTCTCTCATGCGAAATCCATGAACCGAACGCTACAGAACGCCACGTACTAACGACACTGCTCCGCGACGCGGAGCATCGTCTTCATGGACACTTCCGGAACGATAAAATGCCAGGATTGCCAGGAACACAATGACAGCGAGCGCCTGGTCCCCTGGTGCTGATGCCTGGTAGTGGTGGGAACTGGGAACGATGACGACTATCAGTTCTCATTACGGCATTTACGGCAGATGGATCATGGCAGCATGCGGCCATGCGCACCCGTATCGTCTCGCTATGGAAAGATTGGAAAGTCGAAATTCATACGTTTGCGAGACAAACACACAACTTCGTCACGTTATTATAATCCAAAATTGTTGTGCATGTATTGCAATAATACGCAACAATGGCCTTGTTTACACCCAGCCAAGTCCAATCCCGATTCACTTCGGAATGAATTTCTCGGACGTAAACGGGTTAGTTTCGGTTCACTTCAATTCACTTTTCTCACCGGAGTGGAGCAAACTAGGATTGGAAATATCGGATTGTAAACGCTTTGGATCGAAACGTAGCGAGTATTACCAACATATAATATGTAACCAATTAACAGCAACAAAAACAAAGGCAAAAATATAAGAATATTTTGACATTTTACATATACTTTCATTTCGCTCTCACTACGAATAATAAGATCATTCCAGATCAATCCGATACGTTCCCGTGTAGACATAGTAAGAATCAGCGTTGCCAACCTCCGCATTATTACAAATCATACTAAGGTCGTGTTTAGAGACAAATATGAAAAAGAAAGCAGGCGATCCATAATGCGGGGTCTACAATAGAAGTCGTAGCAGTCGTAGGATTTTAATCGAATATGAGCAGAATAATCAACTGTGATTGGTCAATTTTCTACGACTTAAGACTCTACGATCTCTACGACTTCTATTGTAGATCCCGCATAAGCGGAAATTTAGGGTGCCATTACATAAGCGCGGAAACGCGGAAATGCGGAACCGCGTAGCCAATCAGAAGCGATCCGCTGTTATGGTTTCGCGTTTTACCGATTACTGATTGGTTGCGCGTTTCCGCGTTTCCGTAGGTTTGTCGCGTCGCATACTCCAACGTGTTCCAATATGCTCCTATCATAATTCTTACTCACTTCAACGTGCTTGATAGAGTGAATAGGAGCTATGGTAGGAGCATGTTGGAGCATATTGGAGATTGCGACGCGACAAACCTCGTGTTTCCGCGCGTTCGTTAACTTTTGTCGCGCGATGGAAATTATATATCTATTAAGCCGGTGGCACACGATGCTTGTTTTCTTGCTGGATTGCAAGCTAGAATAAATTCTTGCTTCCGTATTGGCTACGATGCTGACACT